ATTGATTTTATGAGGCTGTAATAATCTCCTCTCAAGTACAATTTGCATAAATATATGCATGCATGTCCAAAAAGGCAACTTGAGGTAAGTTTTATTAATGTTGGATACGTTTCAAAGTTGGAATTAAATTCTGCTAACACAAAACATGTTTTTTATTTCTAGCTTTAAAGTGGATATTAAGGTGATTAATTTAAGTGACTGTCTGTTTAAATTTTGTATTTTTTTTTAAATAAGGGGCAGATATTATAATTTTTTCTTCTTTTTGCACTCTTTTCATTCAGAGTTTTTTTTCTTGTTGATGGTTTTGTTTGTTTTGTTTCTTTTAAATGAATGAATAAAAAAAGGCTTTAAACGTCTGCTAAGTTTATGGCATAAACAAACAGACATGTTTCTGTTTTTAGTTATTTACATTGCTTTATAATGTAGCTGTTTTTGTTTTGTTTTTTTTTTAATAATTTTTTTTTGTAATTTTCAATTCATATGAGTTTATGATTGTCTACTGTTGTACTGATAAAAATATCTGGAGGGTAAACTATATCTTGGCTGCAAGTATCAAGCTGCGAACTCCTTTGTTTTCTACAACTGATGGTGGTTGGTCATTAATTATGATGAAGTTTAGCAACTTCTCGGTAAACATTCGAGCTCCGGGGCTTCAGCTGTGTCTTCTTCTTGTTCATTCTGAAGCAGGCAGTATGATTTTGGTCAGCTGCGCTCAGTCTGCCCCTCCTCAGAGACGGGTAGACTGAGCGGGGCAGATTGGGCACGGCTGGCCGGGGTCGGGCTGTCTGTTTCAGAATGAGCAAGAGTAGCGCCCCTCTGAAGCCACAGAGGTCCAATGTCCATCGTAAAACTAACTTTACTGCTGTTTAATATGGCGCTATGGCTCTGTAGACATTGCACGTTGCTCTCTTGCTTTGTGGTGTTTCTAGTGTAAAATACTTCCACACAACGGACATGTTTAGATGAAAAATTTGTTAGCTGTTAGCCACAGTGCTGCTAACTCAGCCCTCACGTTGTAGCTGGCTGCAAACTATGAACTGGATTTCCTGAATGTGAGGCGGGTCTTATTACTCTGGGCTCATGAGACACGCCGCTGTTCAGGAAATCCATTCCATAGTTTGAAGCCAACATGCAGAGCAACTGGCAGGGAATCACATGAGGAGACATTTCATCAGACACACACATGCATCATGTATAGGAAATCTCTGCAGGTTGGATCGGAAAAATCCGATACGTAAATTATGCTGGTATTGGAGGCCGATACTGGATCGGATCGGCCCCATCCCTACTTATGACACAAACAGCTGCTCAAAATGCAAGAAACAGGAAACCAGAAGCAAGTGCTTCAAGGTTCATGCTCAATAATCCAGGTAAAAAAATCAAGCAGTGTTCAGTCAGGTCATCTGGATGGTTTCTTTTTTTGTTGAGAGAGGCTGTGGCTGCCTGGGAGGAGTCGACGGGGGTGAGAGTGGCCCACAGAAACCATCTTATCACCAACAAACTGGTTGGTATGGCTTAGTGGGGAAAACAGTTTGTATGCGACTCTTCAGATTGATGAAACCCTTCTAATGAAGGGCGAAACGTTTCTCAACAAAAAAAGAAACTGTCCAGATGGTCTGAATGAGCAGAAACAAGTGCCTGGCTGTTGGGTCTTATTTTGCAGCTGAGCTGTGCAAAGACATTACACACATTTAATCCTCAATGAGACAACACTGGAAGTAATTTTTTGTTTTTAAAATTTTTACTTTGTCTGCTCCGCTCTCATGTCGGTTTGCTTTTTTTTTTCCCAAGTATACATGACGGACACACCAAAGCTAAACTCATGCCAATCCTTCCCCCTTCCCGTTAACCCTAAACCTGCAGCTTTTGCACACGATCACATGTGGGAACAGGAGCATCCCACTTCTTTTTGTGGTGTTGGAGGTACAAAGAGGTAGGGCTGTCTGGTCCTGTGTGTAAATCTTTCAAGGCACACTTAAATGAAGGAATCTGAGCTGCATATGCCCAAAAAACAACAACAAAATAATAATTTCTGGAGTAAAAACATTTTATTGTGACAACAAACATTAGAATGTCTTGTTTAAAGTGTTTTGATGCATTACGTTTGACATCACTATTGACTATCTTCAATAAGTTTTAAATATGACAAAAACAAATTCATTTCTCCAATAAATATGTTCCAACATTGTTTTGTAGTTCTTAGTATTATTTTTGATATTACTGGCAAAATTCCTTAACATGCATAAATGATACGAGTTGAAGTCTGTTACAGGCTAGGCAACAAGTATACACCCCATGTTTGGACATGGTGATTTTTAATCTTTTTACATAAAATGTGTGTTGTTGACACACAGGATCCTTGAAGTGGTCTTTGTTGTCGTGGGATAGTACAGCCACTACAGCTTTGACTTAAGTAAGTTATATGTTGTAAATTGTAACATGAATGAAACTGCTTTCTCATCTGCAGAGCAACAATCCCTACTCCCATTCTGAAATGTATAAATTGGCATTAAATAAAACCCAAAAACCCAAACCCATCTATCACTTTCCCTCTCAGTAATAACGAGCATTTAGAGGTCAGCACACACTGATCTTTAAATTAATTGCTGCACTTCAGTAATTACAGCTCTGCTGTGTTTTTGCCGTGCTGTTTGTTCCAGGTTTGAATCTAATCACCATTAATGCTGCATCCTTTACACAAAGGTCTAGAAAGGGAAAACTGTATGGGGGCTGTCGACCCCCACCACCCCCACCCTTCCAGTCTCTCCTCTCCCTCCTTTTTCTTCAGTCAGTCATGTACCATGCTTTGTGTGATGGATGAGTAACCAGGTGAACACCAGAGGGACGGGCTACACCAGGACACACAGCCCAATTTCTCTTTTATTCTTCCTCCTTCCCTCTTTCTTTCTCACAAACTGTTTTTTATTTTTTCCCTTTTTATCATCCCCTCCCATCTGTTCTTCTTCCTCTCACTTCCAAACAGGAGCGGTCCAAAGTTGTGCAGTTCTGTAATTACCTCTTACTTGTAATGCATAACTTTTTTTGTTTCTTATACTGGCAAATTACACTGAATGTATTAGTGTGTGTGTGTGTGTATTTGTGAGAGAAAAGGAGTCAAGTCTCAGTCCCTTGGGCCTTTCTGTGTCTCTCATTAAAGACAGACGGTTGATGGAGCGCGAGTATGTCGCTCGCCTCGCCTGTCGCCCTCAACAACGGCACACTACCCTGGCGGTCTGGAGGGATAGAGCAAATGGGAGGGAGTGTGTGTGTGTGGTGGTGATGGGGGGAGTTATCGGAGGGAAGAAGATAGATGAGGGGTAGGAAAAGATGCACCTATCAAAATTTATATTACTTGGTCTTTTTATTCAAATCTACACAGATGGAATTTAGCTAGAAAAACTACATCTCTGCGCAAATTTCAGGCCAAATTAGACTCTTTGTTGAGAAGTGAATTCATGTAAAATTCATTGAAGAACTTTACAGAGTACAAGAGTGAATTAAGCACAGGCTTTTTCACAGAACGGGCTTGAATCTGAACCGTGTCTCACTCAGTTTCTCACTCAATA